TATATAGAAATATTGAGTGGCTATTAACCGAAACATTTACAGAACGAGAGGTTTCTTTTAACTTTATAATTCAAATGAAAGACGAAGATCAAAAGATGATTTGTTTGAAATAATAGAAGAACACTCATATATATTAAGCAATACATATTCAATATAGTAAAATAGATACTAATACGTCTCATGACAGCAATGAATCAATATACCTTCTGGTTTAGAAACGTGCTACAGATTATAGCAAAAAGATATTCGTATATATATATATATGTATCGAGAACAGACTAATGGTATTATTTTGTGAAACACAATTTAAGAGCAATGTTGAAGTATAGAAGTAGGAAATTGAGTTTCTCCTTTGCTCCTGGCAAAGACAGTGACAAACGCTGGTCAAAGATCGTCACAGGTCTTGACAGATCCCATAGCAATGTTGAACATCTCTACGATCGATATTGTCTTATACAATCAAAGGTCGTAAATCAATAACATTTTTTGTAATAGATGAACTACATCCTTATGGCATTTTGAAGAATTAAATGAAATGATAATGAAGAAATGTGTTCCAAAATAGATACAATGAAGCGATATTCTCTAATCGGCAACAACAGCTACATTTCGTTCCACATTTTAATCCCTGCGGGATTGCGTTAACAGCTTTTTATCTCTGTAAGACTTATTAATTGCTTTTCTCTTGGAAAGAAATTGACAATCTGAAGAGTATCGTTGTATTGTTATATTTAATGCAAAAATATTTTTTCATATGTGTGTAGAAGATTTGTTGTATGATGTAAAACTACGAATATTAAATTAAATTTTTTTTATATGAGTATTTTTATGAATAAAAAAAGTCTGTTCTTTATCTATGAAACACAAATAGATCGAATGAATACACAGTCAAATAATGTGTCTGTTCTATTGTTAATGTCGGTTCTAAGAGTATCTCTTTGTCTAGAGCATCAATCGCTATAATTAACACAAAACTTTTCATAATGAATACTATGTCCCTTTGATGAAATAGAAATAAGATCATTCTTTTCTTTTGTATGATAATTAAGTTGGTTCGATTGTTTGTCACTGTTCTCTGATAGTTTTGATCTATTTTCTATATTTAAGTTAAAGTTGAGTCATCATACAATGCTTATCTTGTTTGTTTCTGTAAAAAAGATCGATTTCCTAACATGATATTCGTTATGAAAAGTCTTTAAACATTATTAATTTTCAAAATCGATTCGAATAGTTACAAAAAAATCTAAGAATTTCTTTGTGTATTGCGATGTATTAAATAAGAAATTATTATTTGAGTCAAACAAAACTAAAAACGTAGCTCACTCATATGAATTTTTGAGTAAAAAACAAAATTTTCTGTGTTCGTATAGTATTTTCTTGATTGAAAATAACAAACAATTACTTCAAACTTGGAATGGCTCTCCTAAAAAAAACGAAATATAACTATAGACACAATGATCCTATGCATTCGTTTGTAGTTATATATATATATATATACGCATGAATAGTTTCATATGAATGAAAAGAAAAATAACTTTTTTTCGAGTATATTTGATTATATCAATTGATATTATGTCTATAAAATGCCTCTGAACTGCATCTGATTTTTTTTTATGCAAATGTAATCTACGAAATGAAATATTAATTACTTTACAGGAAATTAGAACGTTTACATTACTTTTACAAATTATAGTCCTTGTATGTTTTTTATATTTACACTATTGCTTTGAGTCAAAAAGCTTTGTGTCATTTTTTTTTTCATTGTTTATTCAGAAACTAAAATACTTATCAACAGCAACTATTTATTTTTTCCAATTGTTCACGATAGAATAATTGAGAATACAACGTTAAACATTAATTTTAGATGATACAATACTTCTAGTTTCATTTGTTCGTATATCATTTCGATGTTGTTTTCTCCAATTTTGACAATATCTAACTAAACTATTAATACAAACTGATACAAACATCCAACACATAAGAATAACTAAAAATGGTGCTGAACCAATGATCATTCCAAGTATCCATCGTTGAATTCGTGACTGCCTGTCAATGATCACAATATCTGGACTTGCATTTAATATTCCTGCTGTTGTTGATTGTGTAAATGGTTGATATCTGGTCGATTCGGAGATAGAAGACAATTTATGATACATAATGTGAAAAATACGTTGATAAAAGAAGAATAAATTTCTGTTTTTCTTTTTTTGCTATGTCTTCTTGCTTCACTCATTTATTTAGTATGCAAGAAAACGAGCACTATAAAAGACAGAGAGAAAAAGCACATCAGTCTTTTGTAATTAGTTTCAAGGCATACTCACTTTTTGCATATCATATGCCATAGAAACAGGATAATAACAATGGAAAAAGAAAGAAGAATAGTAACGCGAAGAAAAAAAAGAATATGATTAGCAAAGATTTTTTTTCTTTATGCATCAAATAACACATAAGACTTGAGTCAATCTATTTTAAGAACTCATTCTCTTATTTATTTCTATTGAGTGAAGACCGAGATAGAAACATATCAATATGGTTTTTCTCTCTATTGTAGTAAGAAGAACTGAAGAAAGTGTAAACATTTACAATTTTATAATAATGTTAACATGCTGTTTTTATTTATTATTTAAACACAAAAGGAAAAAGAAAACATCATACTAATGTTTTATTTAGAACAGATATATTGCAATTGTTTATATTCAACTAAATCTTGTTTAACTGCAAGAAATTTATCATTTCGAATACATGCTGAGATTACTTTTAGAAATATTAAATTAACGTTTAAATAACCATAATAAATCTTCATTTTCTTAATAGTCTATTTTAAAGTTAAAATAGTGTGACATTACTATCAACTTTTTAAAATATCAGTGCCTTTCATGTAAATATTTAAATCAAATATTTGTTGTTCAATAAACTATCTATTAGGAAAATATTTACATATGTATGTAAAAAAAAAAACATATTTATAGAACCCATTTATATTCTTATCTTAGATTTGCATTTAATAAAATTGTTTGATTCATGTTAAAGTTTTTTTTGTTGTTGATGTAATAGGACGTATGTCGATAATGGTTTTAGATATTTCTATTCAGTTGTATAAATAACAATAATAATATCCTGTTTTTAGTTTGAGATAACTTCTCTGTCTTAATGATTCTATGAAAATAGTGCATTGATTGACCAATAAACATTGTTTTTGCGGTCTAATATTTATAGTGAGTTAAGAAGATAAAATTAAGATCATTCTGTATGAAATTAATTCCTTGGAATTTTCATTGTCACTCATATGAGTAAGATTCTTTCAATGGCATTTTATTACTGATAAATTTTAATGCATTTTTAACTCTTGGCTAGTATGTATTTATTAAAACACACGATGAGATCGAAAGTCTATCGATATTATAGTTTTCTATATTTTTTTTATTGTAACCAAAACTTCGTCATCTGTATATCTGATACAAAAAACTATTTAATTTCTCTTCCAACAATATGTTTATTACGATCTACATCCTTATCCATCAAGCGTTGCATGATACATTATTCCTTATTGAATACTTTATGCTATGCGTGCTTTCGTAGACATAGTTTTACTCTGAGAGAAACAATACTAAATAATAATATATAATTGAACATGAATAAAAAATTCAATTGATAAAGAATGTAATGCTCTTCGTCGAAAAGCATTTCATCGAACGACTCGCGGGATACTTTAGACTACTGCAAGTCCTTTAATTCTTATACAGGCTTGTTAAGCATGAAAAGTTCAACTCATTTTGCCTTCATTCTCACCTTTGCAACGTCCTCTGTGATCAAAAAACACTTTCGAAGAAGTGTTTTTCGGCGAAGAGCATACATCCCAAAACCATAACTTATAATTGATGGTTCCATCTAACTTGAACAAGTTAACACCTAATAAGTGTTTATGTTTGCATTGATATTTACATAGATTTCATAGTAATACTATTGATAACGTTGTTTGGCAGATGCTCAAGAATCTCAGTCTCCTCTGAAGACATGATCACATGACTGAGTCCTCCATCCTAAAACTTTTTTCTGATAACTCGACAAAATACTATGTCGCTAACTTCTTCAATGTTATTGTTGATGTTGTATTATTATTATTGCTATTATATTTTTTTATCAGCATTACCATGTTAATTTTTTTTCATCTATCAACAAAAATTCAATGAAATCCTTTTTTTCGAAATCACACTACTTTTCAACTGATCTATATAGTAAGCGTTGAAGATAGAAAAAAAAAACCAGTCACATATTAATGAGTGAAACCCTCGTTACTTTCTTTCTTGCTCATTTTTCTTACTGCTCTACTCTTGATCAATCGTGTCTGTATAGTGGAAAAGCTAGAGAGAAAGAATATGAATAAAAAAAAAAAAATCCACCTCACGTACGATGTGCTTTAGACCTTTGATTTATTCTCCATCTGGTTTGACCTTTTAGTGCGAAAAATATTGCATAAATAAGAGAAATAACATTATTTCAATAGTCATAAATGTATTATTTTTGACAAGACGAACAGTAGCGAATCATTTTTTTGAATTAGACAAAACTAAAAAACCTAATTTTGTTATGTTTATGAGAAAAGTTTTATTTTGTGATGTTTATTAAGAAAAAGCAACATCCCTTCCATTGAAATCAACACTGTCAACAGAAGCTAAAACAAATGTGGAGTAATTTTCGTGCGACGTCTAACTGTGAAAGCGTCATCTATCAGTTCTTGTTTTCTTTTTAAATTTAATATTGTATGGTAAGCATACATGGAAGTTTCCATTTCAGTAGGATAACTTTTTTTTTTTTTTGGTTGGTTTTTTCTTTTGCTTTATAAATAGCTGTCATTATTGGTTGTTTGCCTCATTCTAATATTTTTTTAATCGATCTCATATTCTTTTTGAAACATATAAGACAAATTTCTATTTCTATATTTTCGATATCATAGAACACCTAACAGATTGTTGTTTCTTAAATTTGGTACAAAAACAACTATGGCTTCTATCAATAATGGACAACATCAATGGTATACAGTCTCTTGTGGTAATTCTATATTTACATTACCTGTACGATATCAAAATATAGCTCTTATTGGACAAGGAACTTATGGTATTGTAGTGTAAGTACAAATGTTCACTCCATTTTCTTTTCATAATTATTATATTATTATTTAGTCGTGCCACTGATACCGTATGTATTATTATAAATATGGTTTAAAAAATATATATATATATATAAATATATATTATATGGTAGGCAACAGGTAAATATGTAGCTATTAAAAAACTTCTTCACCCATTTCAAACTCACATACATGCAAAACGAACCTATCGAGAACTTAAATTACTTATGTATCTCAACCATCCTGATGCACAAGTTTGTAGAAATAATTGTTTTCCGTTCATCGAAAGTCATCTGTATTATTTCATACTTTAGGTTGTACAATTGTACAATGTATTTACACCTGAACAAAATGTGAATGATTTTCAAACATTGTATGTCATGAAAATAAAATTGTTTGATAAAGAGTTTTAGTCGTTTTGCCTTTTTCAATAGATACTTCGTATTAAATTTTGTTGACCGTGATTTGAATCGAATTATATTACAACGTATGCCACTCACAGAGGATCTTATTAGACTAACTATCTATTCAATTCTTCGTGGTTTGAAGGTATTATAAATTTCTTCTCAGTATTTCCTAAATTCAATATTGTTCTCTTTCCTTTTTTTTAATCTAGTTTATTCATTCAGCTGATATTCTCCATCGTGTATGTGCAACGAAGACATTCTCTTATGTTAATTTTTTTATTCTATTAAAATAGGATTTAAAACCAACAAATATTGGAGTTGATCGAAATAGCAATGTTACAGTAAGTATGATATAAAGACATTTAATTTCATTGTCGTCTAAAATATTTTTCTGGCATTTACATATGTTTTCAAAATAGTGATTATAGGCTTAAATCAAGATTTTCGTAATTTTGTCTACCGCTCCCTAGACTTTAGCAGCCAATCGAGGAGATAGGGTAGGTATAGAGAAGGTCAAAGATTATTGGGTACGTTTATGTTACGGTCAAAATTGAAATTCGGTCAAATTCTAAATTTGTCTAGACAAAATTGGAATTCTAATTTTGATCAGATAAAATCAGAATTTTATTTTCATGAACTGTAAAACTGAGAAAAAAGCAACACTACGAATACGACTGGAATAAAAAATGATGGTGAAGACGAGAGATAGGTCTGAGTAAGAGTGAAGAGGTCTGGATCTATATCCCGAGGTTGCGAGTGAAATTAGAGTGAATAATCGCGTAAAATTTTAGTCGTACTCAAAAATTCATCCTTACTAAGAAATTTTTCATCCTCATCAAGGCTATCTACGGCGATCTTACTTAAAACCTTCTTTCTGACTCTCATCACCATCCTTGACCTCAATCGTGTTTTTGGTATTTATTTTTGCTTCGTTTTATAATTCATCAAAATAATATTCTAATTTTGTCCAGTCAAAATTAGAATTCCAATTTTGTCCAGACAAATTTAGAATTTGATCAGATTCCAATTTTGATCATAACATTTACATCGCAAGTGAGGAAAATAGTCGTTATATATCTGTCCCGAAGTTCCCTAATCTCGAGTAAAGGAGCTGAGCGACATTAACAAAAAAAAGATTTCAAGTGTTCTTGAAAATTCTAGAACATTCTAAAGACTCGCTCGAAATTTACGTGTCTAGCATGCATATATGAGTGTTCTGATTGGTGCACTTTTTGTTTTCTTGCGCAGATAGAAATGAGAAAGATTGATAACTATTAGAAGTGGTTTCCTAGAGAGATTTGATTTCTTCGTTGTCAAGCTGACACACAAACTGTCCGAAAGGGAGCCTTGGTAAAATGAGTCATATAGCGCTTATTTTCGTTGTGCATAGATCGATTCAAAAAGTTAGTGATCGTCTCATGTACAGTGAATTTGCGTGTTGATGGTATTCAGTACTTTTTATCTATTCATCTCATGAGTGACTAGATTATTTTTAAATATTTCGATAGCACTTTTCAAGCGATTCAAAGTGGTATAAAAAATTGGAGGAAACAACATTGGTCACATAAAGAAAAACCTGAAGGAGACTTCGCGAGACATCATTTTTTTATGATTTTGTTTGCGTGATATTTAGTAAGTTTCAGTTAGGGAAATACAATTCGAAGAAAAACTAATATGATATTCTGAATCAGCAGTCAAAACTGAGTTGACCTACATGTGCTTCAACAATTGTCGAAACTTTTTCTCGTCTAAAAATCCACTCTTGGTCCTTCTCAGAGTTGGGTCAAAAAATAAATTTCATCAAATAGTTATTTTGCCAATAGATAAAGAGTTGTCTATCCGAAACAGCTAGGCATAGTGTACGTACGATAATCATTGAATGTTTCAACCGGTTGGTACACAGCACAAACAAGTGCTATAAGTGTCATTTTAGCAGATATCACCTCAAGATACATTAAGTGAAAGTTTTACGTGAAAGAAACATATTTCTTTAGGGTGTTGTTGTCAACAATTATTGAACCACTTATTTATATAACACACATTTTTTTGTCGCTGGAGTTGACATGTTGACAAAGTCGAAAATTTTGATAGTCTCATAAATGATGAGTCCAATTTACACATATGCTTCACAGCGAGTTCACATCATGATCTTAGGGTTTATGCTATTTAGTTTCGTCCTTGGTCTGCTTGTTTTCACTTTATCAAAAATAGTTTTTGTTGCAGTGAATGCGAACTATTGAAGAACAATAGAATCGTAATGTAGAATAGTGCAACCGAATCTTTTGTTTATAGTTTATGATGTCAGAAGCATATTTAAAACGATTAATTTGAGTGATAGTCTCAAAAAGCACTTAAATTGTAGTAGTTGATGCAAAGAAACTAAAATCTAGGCAATATTTGTTCTTTAAATGTTCTAACAGCTGTAAGCTGATCGTACCAGTTTCTACATCTTGAAATCAAAATAGATTCAAAAACTTTATAATTTTTCGATCTTCAGTCTTGACCATTTGCATTAAATTTCTTATCAACATATTATCTACCACAATTTTCTCTTTTTTCCAACTTAAATTGCTTTGAAACTAAGAACATTTCTGAGAAAGCATTATCAAAAAACTTGCAACTGTTAATGTTGATATCTTTGATGCTTCTAGTCACCATCAATTTCAATATTAACTTATATTTATACATTTGTTTTTGTTTTATCGAAAAAGTTCTATGTTAGATTATCATCTATTTTATTTTATAATAGATTCTTGATTTTGGATTAGCTCGTGTTGCATCAAATGGTGCTCATACTGAATATGTTTCTACTAGGTATGTCAAACATTCTTGTTTTATTTTTAAAACTACTGTGACGAATTTGGCTTTTGTTAGATGGTGGCGTGCACCAGAAATATATCTCAATGAGAAAAAATACAATGAAAAAGTTGATGTATGGTCGGTTGGTTGTATCATGGCTGAATTAATTCTACTTAAACCACTTTTTCCGGGAAAAGATACAATTGATCAATTAAATAAAATATTTGATATTATTGGTACACCGGATCCAACAACAATACAAAAGATATGTACAGCAGGTTAGTATAAAAAGATCACAAATGAAATTTAGTGTTGGAGTATAAAATATTGAAAATTGAAAACTAGAGTTCTTCATCGACATTTGAATAAAAATACTTTTTCCAATTATCATCAAATAATATCACTTAGAGTTCACTAATATAAACAAAAATATAAGCAATATTTCATTTGAAAAATTTTAGAAGCATCTGCTTATATTAGTCAAATGGATCCTAAACCTAAAAGAGATTTTAATGAATTGTTTGGTTTTAAATATGATCCATTAACAGGCACAATAATATCGGGTATTTCACCAGAAGGTAAATTTATAAAAAAAAATAGATAAAGAAACCAAGGAATTGCGTTTGCTTTGTTTGATTATAGGTATCGATTTGCTTGATCGTCTTCTATCTTTTGATCCTGATCAACGTCCAACTGCCGAAAAAGCTTTAGGTAAATTTAAAAAAATATACCTATACACTAAGTCTTTTTTGTATCATACTTGTTATTTAGGTCATCCGTTTTTAGGATTTTATCATGATCCAATTGATGAACCAACTATAGGACCTATGATTGACGAACATCAAAATGCAGAATATAGTAAAGAGCAATGGAAATGTAAGTTATTTAAATAGAAACTTCGTTGCTATTCTTCATTGTCATTCAAAATCATCATTTTTGTTTTGATAAAATACATTGATAAAAAATTAAACAATGAAGAGTAGTTAAATATTAATTTTTCTAATATATGTATATGTTGTTCATTAGCAATAGTTTGTATAGATGAGTTTTTCTCGTTGTGTTTTCACTTATAATTAAAAGTTTTCTCTGTAAACAAAATTCAAGAACGACTAGCTGTCGATAATCATTATTTTTTTTAGATGTATTTAAAAGTATTTTACTATTGTTTTAGCTATTGTATGGCAAATGGTTGAAGAATTTTTACCACCATCTTGGGTTAATCAAGATCTCATTAATGATTCATAAAATAAAACTATCAATAACATAGAACATAACTATTTGCGAGTTATGATTGTTGATAAATTACAATGGATGTTGATTTTTTGCATGCAAACTTACATTTCTATATTCATGTCTGTTATCTTTAATCATGAATTCTGCCTTTCCGAAATTTCGATATATTTTTCTTATTCTTATTCTCATATTTTTATTTGCTCTTGTATAAACGAATTTTAAGTAGAGAGTTCGGATTAATTCAGATGAAAATCACTTTATTTTTTGGACAATAGTTGAAAACTTTATCTTCTTTTTAAAAGCATTTTTATTGTATTGACTTCAATGACGACAGAAATATTAACATGACTTTTGTTATGTAAACACTTTCTTTTATTTTAAATCAGTGTATAATAATGAATAATAAAGCAAGAAAACGTTATGAACGTAATGTTGAAACGGAATTGAACTATTTATTTTAAAATATACAAAGTAGCATTTTGACGCTGGCATCTTCTTTTTGAATAAAAAAACATCCAAAACTTTTCTAAATAACTTTAATTCATAGTAAGTAATGTAAGAATGCTGATTAAATGGTATCAGTCACTTAAATGAAAACTTTGAAAAATAACAAAAATTTAAAATGTCCAAAGAGCTGTTTATGATTTTATGTTTAAAAATAAGTAAAAAACCAATCGTTACTTCGTTAAGTGTAACCATGTAAATAAATATGTCTATCATGAAACTATCTTTTAAATTTAGATAAGGAACTGTATTTCTCAAGATTACTTCAACAGATTTCAACTCTCTAAATCATTTTCAAGTTATGAATCAAAATAGCATAAAAATTTTAATACCGATCAAAACATTGTATAGATGTATCATTCAAAGAAAACAAAACTTTGCGTTTTACAATTACGTAGAATTATTACTGCATGACAACGAATAATTAAAAAAACCAAAGTATCTATATCTGTTATAGTCAATCGAAAACAATGCTTTGTTATAAAGAGAAAAAGAGGTCAGAATATTAATACCTGACTACTGGATTTTCAAGTGATTGTTTTAGAGATTTGGAGTTTACTGCCGTATCAAAAACAAATTATTAAACATAGAATAAATGATTTTTTTCTCAAAACTTACGAGGGAACCTCTTTAGGTGTAAAATCGATGTTTGCTCGAGACTATTGCCATTAGATAGACCTCAACGAATACTTAAAAAGTCTATGTTGGTTCCGGTTCATAGGTCTCCCGGGCTGAGATATTGAATCGTCAAATTATGGTCGAAATAGACGAAGATAGCAAATTTTCGAGTTCTGAAGCGAATAGTCATTTTTTGTCTAAAATTTTTAATATCTCGACAAATAAGTATCTCATACAAGCTATAGGTTAGGGATAACTAGTATGCATATTGATAATGATTACATGAAAGTTTAGTGTCTCATAATTATTTCGTGAGATGTTGATTTCCAATGTTTCTTTATAATAGTGAAAGATTACAGCTCTGATTTCTCCACAACAATTGCATCAATGAGGTTTATATTTTCATCATAAATAAATGACATTACGACCTCTATATGATAGAAGTCTGACTTCATTGGTAGCTTTCTCAAACAATTTCAATATTCGATTTTTATCAACGCTTTTTAAATAATTAAGAAACACATGTTGCAAGAAGAAAAAGTTGAGAACAACATACAGAAATCAGAGCTGTAATCTTTCACAATTATAAAGAAACATTGGAAATCAATATCTCACGAAATAATTATGAGACACTAAACTTTCATGTAATCATCATCAATATGCCTACTAGTTATCCCTAACCTATAGCTTGTATGAGATACTTATTGATCGAGATATTAAAAATTTTAGACAAAAAACGACTATTCGGTTCAGAACTCGAAAATTTGCTATCTTCGTCTATTTCGGCCATCATTTGACGATTCAATATCTCAGCCCGGGAGACCTATGAACCGGAACCAGCATAGACTTTTTAAGTATTCGTTGAGGTCTATCTAATGGCAATAGTCTCGAGCAAAAATCGATTTTACACCTGAAGAGGTTCTCTCGTTAGTAGAAATTGTAGACAAAAAACATATTGCACGTTTATTCATAATACTGCTAATAAACTGAGGAACCATGGCAGTCAGAAAATAGCCGACCGTTTAAGTATCAAATGACCGCTGGTATAGCGCTAGGTATACCGAATAGTCTAGCTTCAAAAAAAATCTCTCCTAGAATCCGATGGACTAAGGAGAAATGCTACTGAAATTTGGTTGCCTCAAAAGAAGAATAAGGCAAATCTTATTGAATAAATAAACATCCTGCTGAAATCTGACAGACTAAGAAAGAACTCTTGTTTCAATCTGGTTCGGTGAGGAAAATTCATATTGATATCCTAGCGAGTAGAACCAAATCAGTGAAGATCGGTGAGTACATGTGAAGACTTATGAATACCAATAGCCAACGATGAATATTGATGACTTATGATTACCAATTTATATGGGTTATCAATGAAGTAGTTACGGATGGAACAGTTGTAGCAAATCGATAACCGACTCATAGTTGTTGTCAGTGCGAGCTAGTAAATTGATAACAGTGAATGATCATCATAGTTGCATCCCTACTTCTTATGATCATATCTTTTTGTATGAACGACCAACTTCCTTCGAGAAAACAAGTTCTACATAGAAGTGTCATGCATCAAAATGTAGTGGTTGTCAAAGATATGAAATTGTTGTCAGCATTTATCAACAACTGAACATATGAGACTAATATAAAATGTTGTAAAATACTAAATTCATCTTTTTTTTTGAGAATGAATGTTCGTATCTAGTTATGCCATAGCTATATTCATAAGCGTTGTTTGTGTATTATAGAAATCAGTTGACGGCATACATAAAACTACTGTATAAAGTCCTATTGAACGTCATTTCATTTATTAACTATAAATCTGCTTCAAATTTAAGAATATAAGACTATAATGGCTTGGCTAAAATCTTACATTCATCGATAAGAAGTATTAATATAAAAGTAAAATCATGATATGTTCAAGAATAATCATCAAATATTCTTTATTTGGGCTATCTGTATTTTAGTCAAGCTTCTATTATTCTGTGGAGCAGATTATTAGGAAAGTTTCTGCGATAGATAGTCGCCATCGTGTGGAAATAACTGTTAACAAGAAAATCAAATTGGCACGTAACGAAAGTTTTATGAAAATTCTCAAATGATTGCACTTTTTGTAGATTACCTCATATTAATGAGTGTCATAGTTTCTAAGAACAACAATATAAAATGAGTTATTAGTGTCGCTTGTAAATCGCATGATCAGTTAAGAGTTGATGGGCAAGGCGCTGTAGTGACACGATATATCGTCACTAGTATTGTCATTTTCTTATTTCTAATTTTTCTATATGTGCCGATGCGTTCTCTATCTCTTGTTTCCTCATTTTTTCGCATTCGTTTGTTTTGATGTACTTGTATTTATGTTATTAACGCTAGAGAGAAAATATACGTATGAGAAATTGTAGTAGTATGCTTATAAATTGATAAGTTGTGGAAATGCAAAAATTTTATGGCTTTCATGAATTTTAAATCAGTAATATTTAAAAAGTAGCATTTAGGATGACGAATAGACATATAAATTTATGTGTTCAATTTTATTGATTAGAAGGAACATTTTAACCACGCGAAGACAATGAAAATAATTTTTTCTCAAAATCATGAAATTAAATTAATAAAAATGTTTATTGTAGTCAATGAATTTCCAATACATCAATCTTGGTATTCGTATCATAATTTTAGTGGAATTGTTTTCGTTTTCAAAATTCCTGAGTTCTCTCTATAATACAAATTATCTAGAGACTATTTATGAATTTTTTTGATATTGATTATCTGGTATCGATCTGTCAACCATCTAGATATCTCAAGAATGTTCCGAAAATAGTACGTTTGATCACTTGGAGAAGACGACGTCAACTCAAATTATCACGTGACCACAGTAATTGAATAGCATCAAAAACATTTCTGAAATTATACTAAGCACTAATATCAACGTTTCCGACAGAATAACAATAGTCCTAATAAAACAATGGTAATAGACCAATCACTCTAATACGATTAAAATAAATAAACAATACAGAATAGATGATTTTGAATTCTAATTATAATATTCTTTGTGAATGTATATCTTCTACAAAAACAACAACTAATTCTGTTGCTACAAATGACACTGATAAAAATTCAACATGAAAAGAATCACAGAAAAATCTTTCAACTAGAATAGGTAGTATATCCTCATTCATGTTATTTTTACATTAGTAGTAAAATAGATTTCATAAAAATAGTATTGGTGGCATAACCAGGCATCGGTAGATAATCTCCACTCTCTCTCTGCAGACATGATCAGACGATTCAGCTTCTTGTCCAATAACTTTTTTCTGATAATGAAACAAAATACTACATCGTCCAGTTCTTCAATGTTGTCATCAACGTCAGATTATCACCATTTATATTCAATTTTCCATGAGTATTGCTATATTAATTTAATTTGTTTTCTTCTATCAACAAAAATTCAATAAAATCTTTTCGTTTGAAATCACAGTACCGTTCAGCTGATATATATATAAGGATTGATGATAGAAATAAAACAGTGTATATTCATACCTGAGACTATCGTTATTTTTTTCTTGCTCATTTTTCTTACTATTCTACTCTTGTTCGGTCGTGTCTCTATGATAGGAGAGTCAATAGGAAAGAGGAGGAAAAAATATGTACGTCAACTACCACGTGCTATGGACCTTGTGTTTATGTTCTATTAGAGGTGGCTCTTTATTTTTAGTTTAATAGGTAAAGTATAGTGAAAAAAATATAGTAGAGCAAAATATTTGTGTACAAGTTTTGGTCATTTTCTTAGTTCAGCATCATGCTTTGATAATGGTACAACATATAATAATTTGCTTCAATATCATTTCGTCATAAAACAAGTAGAATGATAGTAAAGTGAAGGTAAAAAACGTCAATTCTTTAACAGTGCATGAAATGTATTGTTTGTCTACTTCATCTTATTTTTCACAGTTAAACTACAATATTTTACTGTACTTTTTTGGTAAAGTATACTCAATTTATTTTAACTGGCAAAATAAAGTTAGATGTGTGACTTTGCTTTATTTTTTCAAAGTAGAATAAATATGAAGTACCACTCCTATTTTTCATCGTATTCGATTACTTTTTCGAATGGCATTTTAGTGCTAAAAAATGAATAAATGAGAGAAATAAAATTATTTCAATAGTCATAAGTATATCATTTTCTTCAACATGAATAATATCAAATCATTTTTTAAACTAGACAAAACTAAAAAACCTAATTGTGTTTTATCTATGCAAAAGTTTTTATTTTATAATGTTTATTAACAAAAATCAACATCACCTCCACTGAAATCATTACTGTCAACGAAAGCAAAAAACAAATGTTGGGTCATTTTCGTTCGACGTATAACTATCACTACATCATCTATCAGTTCTTGTTTTCTTTTTAAATTTTGATATTGTATGGTAAAAATCCATGGAAATTTTCGTTCGAGTAAGAAAATTACTTTTTTTGGTTGGTTTTTTCTTTTGCTTCATAAATAGCTGTTATTATTGGTTATTTCTTTCATTCTGTTCACGTTTACCTTTCTCATCTACCTTTCAAAGCATATAGGAAGGCTTTTTATTTCTATATTTCAACATCACAGAAGACCTAACATATTATCGTTTCGTTACATAATCAAGAACAAATATGAATGTTAATGATGTCCAACAAGATGAATGGTATACAGTGTATTGTGGTCCCGGTAAATTTATATTACCTTTACGATACCAAAATATAGCTCTTATTGGACAAGGAACTTATGGCATTGTAGTGTAAGTACAAATATTCAGTCCATTTTCTTTTCATAATTATTGTATTATCATTTAGTCGTGCCACTGATACCGTATGTATTATTATGAACATACTTACAAAGTAAAATATACATATATAATTCGATTTTAGACAACAGGTAAATATGTAGCTATTAAAAAACTTCTTCATCCTTTTCAATGTGAAACACTTGCAAAACGAACCTATCGAGAACTTAAATTCCTCATCTATCTCAACCATCATAATGCACAAGTTTGTAGAAATAATTGTTTTCAGTTCATCGAAAGTCATCTGTATTATTTCATATTTTAGGTTGTACAATTGTACAATGTATTTACACCTGAACAAAATGTGAATGAATTTCAAACATTGTATATTATAAAAATAAAATTATTTAATGAAGATCTTTAGTCATTTGTTGTCGTTTTCAATAGATACTTGGTTTTAAATTTTGCTGAGTGTAATTTACATCGACTTCTATTAACCCAAGAACTACTCTCAGAGGAACAAATTAAACTAATAATCTATTCAATTCTTCGTAGTTTGAAGGTATTATCAATTTCTTCTCAATATTTACTAAATTCAATGTTATTCTCTTTCTTTGTTTTGTGATTCAGTTTATTCATTCAGCTGGTATTCTCCATCGTGTACGTGCAACGAAAACATTCTCTTATGTTAATTTCTTTTATTCTATTAAAATAGGATTTAAAGCCAACCAATATTGGAATCGATAAAGATAGCAACGTTACAGTAAGTTTGATATAAAGACATTTAATTTCATAGTCGTCTAAAATACTTTTCTGGAACTGACATATATTTTCTTCGAAAATAACTATAAATTTCACAGTTTTCATACAGTATCTATTCATTTTCGATCAGCACAGATCTCGATTTATTTTCTCATAAATATTCTTTTGGCTTATATGAATAACTATGCACTAAACTCATCGTTCTACTCGTTACAACATTGAAACATGTTTTTCTCCCTAGATTTAACATATCAACTCATTCGAAGGTTTTTGTTATATGATAACGATGAATCCAGTTTCGAGATGTACTTTGAACCGAGTTGGCATTACAGACTTAGCCTGTCTAATGTCTAATTTCGTTCTTCATACGTTACTTTTATCTTCAATGAAAATAGATTTTGTTGTAGTGAATTTGAAATATTGGAGAACAATAGAATAATAATGTAGACGCATATAAAGAAGATCAGAATTAGTCTATTTTCAACGAATTTTCTTTTCATTGATTCCAATGTTGCCGACTAATTTATAATAAAAAATGAGTCTGGATCGAATATGATTCGCTCTATATATAACATTTAATTATAATTAATCAGTTTATTGAACAATCGATCAGTTATCATTTGAGTCGATTGGCTGTGGGGTACGAGTGTAAGTGTCACTGTGAAGAAGAAATTATCTACACGCATTCCCAGTTTCATGCCCACAATTTTTGGATAAATGAAACACTAGAGTATGCCGTCCTTCTCTTGAATTTTGGTTTAGATTTTTCTTCGTGACAAAATTTCTCTATTTGATTGTCATCTTTTTAATTTTATAACAGATTCTTGATTTTGGATTAGCGTCTGTTGCATCAGCCAATACTCCCACTATTTATGTTTCTACTAGGTATGTCAAATATCCTTGTTTTATTCTCAAAACTACTATGAGGAGTTTGCTTTTTATTAGATGGTGGCGTGCACCAGAAATATATATCAACGAGGAAAAATATAATGAAAAAATTGATCTATGGTCTGTTGGTTGTATCATGGCTGAATTAATTCTACTTAAGCCACTTTTTCCGGGAGAAGATGCAATTGATCAGTTAAATAAAATACTTGACATTACCGGCACACCAGATTCGACAACAATACAAGAGATATGTATACCAGGTTTGTATAAAAGAAACAAATGAAATGTACGTCTAAATATAAACGATCGATAATGGAAAAATGAAATTCTTCATTAATATTGAATAAGAACACGTTTTGAATTATTATCAATTGATATTACTTTGAATTTACTCATATCCTAAAATACAACCAATATTTTATTCAAAAACTTTTAGGTATATCTGCTTATATCAGTCAAAAAGAACCCAAACCCAAAAGAGATTTTAATGAATTGTTTGGTTTTAAATATGATCCATTAACACAAAATCCAATATCAGGGATTTCACCAGAAGGTAATTTTAAGAAAGAGAGAGAGAAACAAATCAATTACATTTATTCTATTTGATTATAGGTGTTGATCTGCTGGATCGTCTTCTATCTTTTGATCCTCGTCAACGTCCAACCGCCGAACAAGCCTTAAGTAAATTTTTGATCCTATAATTATACGTCAGTTATTTCCTACATCGTATATGTCATTTAGGTCATCGATTTTTGGAATTTTACCATGATCCAATAGAAGAACCAACTATAGAACCTATAAGTGATGAACATCAAAATGTAAAACATACTCGTGACCAATGGAAATGTAAGTCGTTTACATAGAAATTTCGATGCTATTATTCATTGTACTCAGAAATCATCATTTTTATTTTGACAAAATCGAGTGACAAAATATTGAGGAATAGAGTATTAGTTTTTCTATTATATATATGTATACACTGTGGATTATCAGCAGTGTGTATAGATGTTTGTTCTCGTTGTATCTTCACATTTAGTTAGAATTTCTTTTTTTATATAAAAAGAAGATAAACTGAGAACGATAAGATATTGATATATGTTTAAAAATATTTTATTATTGTTTTAGCTATTGTATGGCAAATGGTTCAAGAGTTTGTACCACCATCTTGGGTTAACGATGATTCTATGGACGATTCATAAAATAAAACTATAAATAATATAGAATAAAACTGTTTCAAAGTTATAACTGTTAATACATTACAATGAATGTTGATTTTTGCATGCAAGCTGACATTTTTATATTTATATTCGTCGCGTTGAATCATGAATCATTTTCTTCCGGAAATCTTCATATATTTTTCATTTTTCTATGCTCTTATATTAATGTACTCTTTTGCAAACACATTTCAACTTGAAAATTTGGATATATTCAAACGAATAATGTTTTGTTTTTGTGAACAATCAATGAAGCATTGTACATCTTTTGAAACCTTTTCATTGTATCGACTTCAACAAACGCAGAAATATTAATATGAGTTTTGTTATATAAAAACTTTCTTTTGTTTTCAATCAGTCTACCCAAACAAACAAACATATCGATTTGTCACGGTTTTTAAACACAAAAGGCACAAACTCTCCACCATTTTGATTATGCCAGTTTCAACCGTAATTTTCACAAAAAGTCGATTTTTCGCTCATTTTTTGAGAAAATTTTCAAGTCTTTGAGGAATCTTTGCTCCTCTTTTCGTTTTTTTTTCATATACTTTACGCTAATTTATCCGATGAAAACTTGAAGTTTTGCTCAAAACATGAGAGAAAACTCGATTTTTTGTGAAAATTACGATGAAAACTAATCTAGTCAACAAAGCTGAGAGTTTGTGACTTTTCTTTTCAAAAAATGAAACAAATCGATGTATCTTTTTGCTAAGACATAGTAATAAAGAATAGAAAAAAAAAGGTTATGAAAATAACGCTGGAATGGAATCGAATTGTTTATTCTGAAAAATAACAAAACAAGCATTTTGACACTGCAATGTGATCTAGCATCTACGTCAGAATGTTGTTCTTTTCTATAAAAAAAAAGCATTTGGAAAGTTTTGTAACCGCTTCAATTTATTGTAAGTAATTTCAGAATGTTATATGGTGGCATCACTCACTGAAATGAAAAATCATTGAAAAATAGCAAGAATTCAAAATGTTTGACGGTATACAGCACTGGACAAAACTATGACACCACTTTATATCTAATATTTTTTTTGTTCCAATTAGTTTTCTGATACATTATATATGTTTTTTCTAAATTTATCATTCTGTATAGAATTAGATATGTTCTTTTAGAATCTTATGAAAAAGTTTATTATACCATATAATTATGAGAACAAAAAACTTTCAAGAAATATCGTATAAATTCTGCTGTCCAAAGTTGAAAGATCATTTGATGTTCTTTCAGTATGTTTTCGAATATTCTTGGTAATGTTTTTTGAATATTGTGCCATGAAATTCATTACACTGTTTAATACCATGTGTGGCATCGAATCGACTAGTTATTGGTGATACATAGATGTTACACCATGCCATATATCTTGAATCATTTTTTGTAGTTGTATAAGATTTTTGGGTTTCATTTTTCGTAATTTTTTTTATCAATATGATCCCATACGGGTTGTATGGAGTTAAGAACAATATGTATAGCTGGTAATTGTAGCACATTTATATTATTGTTTTTAAATCATTTCATGGAATAATTCGATCTATGTGGTGGTCAATTGTTCTGCATGAACGCTTATTCTGTTTTTAGTAGATCAAATGTGTTTTCAATGAATATTGGCAAGGCTGCTTCTAATATCTTTATAACTCTTATACAGGATTTCGAAATGATTTTGGTTTTTCTCTATGATTTTTGTATTCCATATCTAAAAGAAGACAACGAACTGTCTGGACACTTCATTGTTTATCATTTAGAAGCACTAGAGTTTAGATTATAATTCTTGGCTGACTTTCGTTCAGTCTTGATTGCATAAATATAATAAACTTTGATCATCACTTTTTATCGATACTGGTTTGCACACTTAACTAATTCAATTTGATAGAAATAAGTTTTTTTTTAAATTTTCGCTACAGCTGAAATGCACGTCTTTGAAACAGCAATTGTTTTTGGCATCATATCGTTGATCAAATTCAACTTTCAATAAGCTTTTACTTTCAGTTTTCTTCTGTAACGATACGTTGGCTCTACTCATAGCTACTAATTACAAAAATAAAGTATTACTTATAAAAAATTATCACATGAGAAATATCTAAAACGAGTATAATAATGTGATAACATGTCTAGCTTTATTCATAAACTATCTAATGAATGAATATAATCTATCAGAAAAAAAAATGTGATATAAAATAAAATCATGTGTGTAGTAGTCCTATAATATTGACTAGTACTCTATAATCCAACATGAGTAAAATAATCAATTGATGAATTATGAAGGTATCTATAACTATTTTAACAAGCTAAAAACTATTACACGAAAAGAAAAACCTATGCCTTTGCTTATGTTCATGAGACATTGGTTTCAAATACTCATTGAATATACTATTAAACTGTTTCCTTACAAATCAACAACAATGAGCTTTGATTAGTTTCACAATCCACCATCATTACTCCTTTACATGTTATCAGGTACTTCAACTCTCATCTCTTAATTATATACGTTTCTATGCAACAAATTTTACTCATGATTTTATTGTAAATATATAACTTATAATTAATTGTTTCATCTATAATGGAATAAGTTAACATGCAACAAGTGCTCATTTTTAAATTATTAATAAAATAAATCTCATAACAATACTATTAGTAGAGTAAGTAGACTGGTGGCTAGAGAACCTCTGCTATCTCTACAAACATAGTCAGAAGACTGAGTCTCTCATTCAATAAGTTTTTTTCTGATAGTTGAACAAAATACTCTATCGTCAAGTTGCTCAATGTCATCACTGATGTCATATTATCATCATTTCTATTGTATTCTCCTTCAACATTGTCATATTGGTTAGTTTTTTTTCTTCCATAAACAAAAATTCAACAAAACTTTTTGTTTCGAAATCACAGTACTGCCCAACTGATTTACATCCCTGGGCAAAAGTCTTTCCCCCCCACCTCTTTTTTCGGCAAGGTTTTCTCTGCTATTATAAGGACAAAAGATGATGTTGTTCGGGCTATATAAAAGAGGACCCTAATAACCCCTAATCGGCCCGAACAACACCATGTTTTGTCCTTATAATAGTAGAAAAAGCCTCGCTGAAAAAAGAGGTGGGGGGAAAGACTTTTGCCCAGGCGTGTATATGCTATGATGGATAACAGAAAAAAAAGTTATATTTATGACTGAGACCATTGTTATTTTCATTCTCGCTCATTTTTCTTTTTGTTCTACTCTCGATCGATTGATCGATCGATCGTGTCTTCGTAAAAGGAAAGCCAGCAAGAAACAAAGAGTATGAAAAAGAAAAAAAATCGACTTCGTCTACCATGTGCTTTGGACCTTTAATCTGTTTTTCATCTTATTTGATTACGGTTTTTTTTTATTGACATTTCAGTGCAACAAAAGTTGAATAATTAAGAACAATAACATTATTTCAATGCTCATAAGTGTATTATTTTGCACAACGAACACCATCGTTTCATTTTTCGAACTAGACGAGACAACAAAAAAACACTTAGTTTTGTTACACATATGAAAACATTGTTATTGTATGTTCTTTATCAAAAAAAAAAATCAAAATTACCTTCATTAAAATCAGCAGAGCCAACAGAAGCAAGGACAATAATGTTGAGTATTTTTTGTTTGACGTGTAATTGTGAAAACGTCATCTATTAGTTCTTACTTTCTTTTTAAATTTAATATTGTACGAAAAAAAAATACATGAATACATTAATTTAAATAATAAAATTACTTGTTTGTGCTTGATTTCTTTCTTTGCTGTATAAATAGCTGTCGTTCTTGATTTTTTGCTTCACTCTATTCGTTTTTATGTTTCTTATGTTCTCGTCGAAATATATAAGACGACCTTTTATTTCTCTATTTTCTTCATGATAGGAACACTTAACAGATTTTTGCTTTCTTTTAATTTAACAGAAATAAATATGGCTTCCAATAGTATCAAACAAAATGAATGGTATACAATTTCTTGTGGTAATTTTACATTTACATTACCTATACGATATCAAGATTTAGTTCCTATTGGACAAAAAACTCATACTATCGTAGTGTAAGTGGAAATAACGATTTCATTTTCTTTTCATAAGTTCTAAATTATTATATAGTCGTGCAACTGATATTGTATGTATCCTTTTGGACGTGATTAAAAAATGGATAGAATTATATTGTTTTTCAGACAACCGGTAAACATGTCACTATTAAAAAACTTCTTCATCCATTTCAAACTCACATATATGCAAAACGAACCTATCTAGAACTTAAACTGCTTATGTATCTCAATCATCCTGATGCACAAGTTTGTAGAAATGATTGTTTTTTAGTTCATCAAAAGTCATCTGTATTTTTTCATACTGTAGCTTGCACAATTATATAATGTATTTACACCTGAACAAACTGTAAAAGATTTTCAAACATTGTATGTTGTAAAACTACTTTGGTTGGATGAAGATTTTTTTAGCCGTTTTCGTCTTTTTCAATAGATACTTGGTTTTAAATTTTGTTGACTATGATTTGCATCGAGTTATAGCATCTTATGAACCAATGACAGAGGAACTTATTAAACTAATTATATATTCACTTTTACGTGGTTTAAAGGTATAATAAATTTTCTGTCAATATTTATTCAATGAAATATTATTCTTTTTCTTTCTGATCTAGTTTATTCAGTCAGCTGGTATTATTGTTCGGGTAAATGCAACCAAACCATTTTGTTATTTAAAAAATTGTTTTTTTTTTCTATTTTATTTAAATAGAACTTGAAACCAACAAATATTGGAGTTGATCGAAATAGCAATGTTACAGTAAGTATTGTATTATATAAAAAAAACATTTATCTTGGTAATCATTTGCAATTCTTTGGTTCAAATGGTTTTTCTTCTACAAAATTCTTCTCCTCTCAAAATTGCATTGATTTTCTACTGATTTTACCAAATTTTGTTAAGATGCGAAGCGCTGTATAGTAGTCGATCAAAAGTTTAAAATGCTTTGAAACTAAGAACTTTTCTGAAAAATGAATGATTAAGAATTTTGAAATGTCAATGTTCATATAATTCAACACTTTTACTTGTGTTCGATTTCTACATTCGCTTATATTTCTATACTTTCTTTCGTTTTTTCGAAATAGTTCTTTATTGATTGTCATCTCTTTTATTTTATACTAGATTCTTGATTTTGGATTAGCTCGTATTGCACCGATTGGCTCTGACATGGATTGTTTTGTCACCAAGTATGTCAAACATTATTATATTATCTTAAAAAGCGATAATAAGACATTTATTTTTGTTAGACTGTGGTGTGCACCAGAAATTTACCTCAATGAGATAATATGTGATGAAAAAGTTGATCTATGGTCTGTAGGTTGTATAATGGCTGAATTAATTCTACGTAAACCACTTTTTTTGGGATATAATACAATTGATCAATTAAATAAAATATTTGACATTATTGGTACACCAAATTCAACAACATTACAAGAGATATGTACACCAGGTTTGTGTAAAAAAAAAGAAGAATTTTATATTTCGAATACATAATGTCGATAATTGAAAAGTGAAATTCTTCACTGATATTAAATAAGAATATTTTTTCAATTATCATCAATTGACATCACTGTGAATTAATAAATACCATAAAATATAAACAATACTTTATGTGAAAACTTTTAGAGGCATCTGCTTATATCAATCGAATGAAACCTATCGTCAAGAAAAATTTTAATGAACTGTTTGGTTTTAAATATGATCCATTAACAAAAAACACAATATCTGGTGTTTCACCAGAAGGTAATTTTAAGAAAGAGAGAGAGAGAAACAAATGGATTGCATTTATTCTATTTGATTATAGGTGTTGATTTACTTGAGCATCTTCTATCTTTTGATCCTCGTCAACGTCCAACTGTCGAACAAGCCTTAAGTAAATTTTGATAATATAATAACATGCTGATTGTTATCTCTATCAAATTTGTCATTTAGGTCATCGATTTTTGGAATTTTACCATGATCCAATGGATGAACCAACTATAGAACCTATGATTGACGAACATGAAGATGCAGTATATAGTAAAGAACAATGGAAATGTAAGTCATTTGAGTAGAAACTTCATTGTTATTATTTATTATATTCAGAAATCATCATTTCTATTTTTGATACAATGGATTGATTAAAAATTTAAAAATAGTCAATAGTCATGCATCGCGGAATCCTGAAAAAATACATGCGAGACATTCTTATTCGAGCAATTCTTTCGCTAGAATCTCGACAAATGCTATGATCCGGGAATAGTTAAATATGAATTTTCCTAATAATATATACATATATTTGTATTTTTGGTAATCAACTATATGTATGGATGATTTTTCTCATTGTATTTTCACTTTTAATTAGAATTTTTTTTCTTTAAAAAACAACATAAAAGTTAATTAGATGTCTCTGACAATTATTTTATTAACATGTATTTAAAAATATTTTATTATTCTTTTAGCTATTGTATGGCAAATGGTTCAAGAGTTTTCACCACCATTATGGATTAATGATGATTCAATGAACGATTCATAAGATATGACTATAAACAAGAGAATAAAAGTATTTCTGAGTTCTGATTGTTGATAGATTACAATTGTTGTTGATTGTTACATGCAAACTTACATTTTTATCTTTATATCTGTTGTACCTAATAATGTATTAGGCCTTTCTGAAATTATGATATATTTTATTTCTTGCTGTGCTCTTATATCGATCTATTCTTGTGTATATGTCGCGTCGAAGTTATTTTGCAACATTTAACTAAATATCTTTCATCAACAAGTGAGTATCATCGTGTTTAAGCGGGCATTGAAACTATTCCTTTCAGCTAATCAATATTTATAATTATATTGGTAAATATTTATCTTGAATAATTTACAAATTATTTAGAAATAAAACATTTTGTTTACTAATCTTGTTGAGTTTCCTACTCATTAAGAGTGTTTTAAATGTTCTACAGAATCGAAAAGGCAAAAACTTTTATGATATGATCAGTGATAAACTTAAATTGATAGTAAATAAAAAAATCGAGTTATTCGTGAGCAGATGTCAATCTTTTCATCTATCAATTCAAATAAAGACAACATAGATATGAATAGATACACTCATGATTGTCGTATTGTATTGCTCATGTATTCTATTACAATCAAGCTTTTGCAGTAAAGTTAATTATGAAATCCGAAATGAAAGATAGGTATAGTTGAAATAATGAGATTATGGATCATGGATAGTTTCGATAGATGTAAAAGAAGGGCGTAAATGGAGGAAAATGTAGTGTATTCAAATAATTTATACGTCGGAGTATAGTGCACTTATCATCACAACTATAAATTTGCAATATGATTGCTATAACTATACAATCACCTGTGGTTCTACAAAGACAAAAGCCTCGTAAGGCGACACACGAAGTAATTTCATCAACGACAAATAGTTTCAATGCACGTTTAAACACGATGATACTCACTTGTTGATGAAAGATATTAAGTTAAATGTTGCAAAATAACTTCGACAAAAATTTATTGCCGAAGCTAGACTTCGGCAAAAAGTGTAACTTCGGCACCACATAAATAGACTTCAATTAGACAGTTCGAAAAAGTTCAGACGAGAAATGTTTTGTGTTTTTTAGATAATAGTTCAAAACTTCGTATGTTTTCTGAAACATTTTCATTGTATCAATGTCAATGAACACAGAAATATTTATATAATTTTGTTCTATAAAAGTTTTTTTTTTTGATGGAGCGCTCTATTATAATAAAGAATAAAGAAAAAAATACCCATGGAAGTAATGTTAGAATGGAATTACACCGTTTATTTTGAAAAATCAAAAAAGAAGCATTTGGACGCTGCTATCTAATCTATCATCTGCATTGGAATGTTTTCTTTTTCGAAAAAAAATTTCCATAGCTTTATGAAATAATTTGAATTCATCGTGAGTAATGTCAGAATGCTATATGACAGCATCTACAACGTTAATGAAAAATCTATGAAAACATAGCAAAATTTTAAAATGTTTAAAGATCTGCTTTGAGTTTGATGTTTAAAAATAAGTAAAAAAGATCGTCAGTGTGCTAAATGTAATAATGTGAACGAATATTTTCATGATAAACTTGTCTTTTGAATAGAGATTAGGAGTCATAGTTTTCAAAATTGTCTAATTAAAGATATCAGTCCTCTAAATCATTTAAAAGTTATGAATCAAACTAACATAAAATTTCTAGTATGCATCAAAACATTAAATAATTGTATCTGTTAATTAAGAAACTTTGTGGGTTACAGTCATGTTCAATTATTGTTGAGCAAGAACAAAGAATGAAAAAAAAAGACACCTACTTTCGTACTAGTCAATGGTAAACTATGGTATTTTTTTTATACGGATAAAGACAGATGAAATACGAGAAAACATTGAGGGAATGATTTTTTTTTCTAAAAGCTTAATAATAACCATAGACAAAACTCACAGTACACGTTCGTTTGCATTACCAATGATACACCGCACTAAAATGACAGTGAGGAGATAACCGATCGTGTAAATATCAAACTATAATCAGCTGATTGTCGATATACTAGCGGTTTGATCATTACAGGTGTATTCTGACGAAACAGAACACATTATACCCAATAGTTAACGAATGGCTTTTGTCCAGTTTGAATTACATGGGAAACTCACAAACTATTATGAATATACAAAATCCAGTTAAGATTGTGGAATGACGATATTTGCCGAATACTTTATTCTGATAGAAAAAATCGTAAGTTGATTTAGTCGTTCTTTTTTAAATTATAAGAGACTTAATTTAATAAAGAACCAAAAGAGTAATGCCTTGTTTTAAAAAAGAAAACAATAATCTGTTTTATGCATGCATAAAAAATTGCATTTCGAAAATTTTTTTTTTCTTATTAAATATATATCCTGGTTAAAGACAAATGGTAACTAGTTTTTAAGTACAATTATCTGACGAATGTAAGATGAACAATCATTCAACAAATGAGACAAATCAAGATTTTATTCAAGCCGAAAATTCATGCTCAGTTTCTAAAAACAATACTAATATGCAAATACAATCTGATTGTAACTATGATTCATAATGAATGCATATATTCAGCAAAATAATAGAGCATTATAGTTAGAGACATAAACAAAAAGAAATGAACTATAGAGTATAAATGAATAAGACATGAACTATAGGGAGTTAGTCAAAACAAGAAAGGCATGAGTACAATGAAAATAGATATGATACTGGGATTCCCAAAAGATAATCAAAAGCAATATTGATGAATAATTGAAATAAAACGTAATACATCTTTTATTTTCTGAATGATAACTGATGCCTATAGAAAAACTACAAAATATGAAAGTTTGATTTTTGCTATTCACTTCAGATTTGTTATAACTATTAAACGAGATTATTTGAGTTTTACAAAGTCGTAGATTAAAATATAAATTGTTATTTGTTCTATTGTCAATTCACGGTAGAAAGTCGATTGCGAAGATTATCAACAATTATGCTTATACTAAACTTTTTCTCAACACATTCACAATTATTCAAGATGTAGACAATGCTTTACTAAACATTTTATTGATTATTCATTTTCAGCACATAATCTGATCTCTAAATCAAACAGAAAACTATTGAAGTCGTGAGACAAATTCAAGCTAACAATAAATTCTGATCAATGCATTTAACTTCTAAATAATATTTTATCTTTAATATGCATAATTAATAAAAAAAGAGTGACTTAATATGTTCATATATCATTTTAAATGATGTACTGAATTGAATTGTTATAACACCTACATCCTAAAGTGCTTTGAATAGAATATTGATGTAAATTTATTTATAACACAAAAAGTTTCTTTTCTCATATAATCGCAAACATATTGCTAACTCAAGTGCAATTTCTTTACACATTCAAAATTAGTTATTTTTAAAATATCATTATATAGAAAATATTTATGACTATTCAATTATCATAAATTACAATAATAGTTAGTCATTAATCTTCACCTTTTTGTTCAAATAACACAAATTATAGTAAGTAACGAAGACATGTACTTTTGTTGTTATGTTTTAGTTTTTAGACTTAACTCATTCTTTATCTGTAAGAAAAATCTACAACAATTAATTTATGGACTAAGATCTTAATCATGATTTATTTTTTGCTACATCTATGACAAGATATAAATAAAAGATACTATGCAATATTGAAATCTTCAACAGTAAGTGCATTTTTTTCATAAAAATATTTTTGTATGAATACGAATTTGCGTTTTGAATTAATCAAATTTATATTACGCCGTATTAGTTTTATTTCTATCAATTCATTTGATCTTATTTGAGAAGAATATATATATTTTAAGAGTTTTATTTGACAAACTAAATTATGTCATTTTTAATTCGATCTAGATGATGATTAATCATAACTATTTTTCTACTCTTTTCATGTTTTCATCGATTTGTTGATTATTCAACGACGTAGGCTATAAAAAGCGGAAAAGAATAATATTCTAAGTAACAGAAAACTTTTTTTTTTCTTGTCTATCATTCTAAACATTCTTGAATAGAAAATTATTGAATGAAAATAACTAATGTTGATATACCAAGTAGAATTCGATCAAATCTTTTTATTTCATATTCTTTAGAATTAACATGAGGAATAATTATTTCTGTATAACGATGTAGAAATAGCGTTCGATAATTTAAGTTTTACTTAGGATCTGAGGATATGTTTTTTAATATGTATTGTTTAAACCATGATTTCATTTCTACGAGCTCTAAAAATAGATGTTCGTTTAATTAATGATTGTAGAAAAGTATTTGATATATGATTATGTATACAAATGTATTTGAAGAAAATATGTAAATATGTCAGATGATTAGTTATAGATAATAGTCTAAATCAATAATAAAATATCGATTGTAGTTGTACATAGTATCAATTCTTAGTAATTTATCTTTTTTTATGTCATTTATGTTAATGTTCTTATTTTGATTGAAATATTTTGTTTTTTATTTTTGATAGTATCTGTGTTTTTCATTATTCTATATGAAATAGATTAATGATTTTCTTATTTTCATATGAGTAATAAGAAAACATTTTCGTGATAACAGAAACTATCGTAAGCAACTGGTTTCATATTTCTTTATCAAAAAACAAAAATAACGTACTATTCAAAAATAAATATGTAAAATGTATAGGTTTTATTCTTATGAATCATAATGAGATGAATAATAAAATTCTTTTTCTAATCAAGCCTTTCTTTAAAAAGAAATCATATTTGCTTATGAAAATATATACATAAAATCATTGATAGCTTAAAGTGATTCATATGATTATTTGTCTATTTTAAAAAGTATTGTCTTTGATAAAAAAAAAAAAGAACAGATTAGACTAGAACGATCAAGTGCAATTAAGCAAATTATAAGACATAAAATTCTTTTATATTTCTTATTTTTCATTTCTCAACAGTTTTGAAAGTATGAGTAATTTTAAGCAAGGAAAAATTACTAACTAAAATTAATTTTTATTTTGAA